AAAAAAATAATCTTTTTAAAAAAATTCTTATGAATATCTTTCAGATCTGTCCCCTTTTCAGGTGTGTCCTTTATTTTTTCCAAGACAAGGTGGTCATGAAGTTCTATGGATGATGATGATTTTTATCCCAACTTTTTTTTAAATAGAACAAGGTGGCAAACATTCTTAATAATCACATTTCCTCTGCTTATTTTCCCCACAGAAACAATCCTGGGAGATGGGTTGGGCTGAGAGACCCAAAGCTACCCGGCCAGTTTTCACAACTAACAATAAAAATACAAAATAAAATTCTGCCTTGGAGTTATGTTGCATACACATGTAATCATAGTTAGCAAAATCTGAACCATGATTAGATGTTACCCAATCTGTGAATTTAGAAATTCATTTGGTAATATTTTGCGTTGGGGAAATTGGCTGCCCCTGTGCCTCCGTGATTCGGTAAGATCCAGTGAGACCTTCCTGATGTATTGACAGGATGAGAATCATTATTATAGGGTATCTAGCCTTAAATTAATATGTTGCAATGCTTTAAAATGCTGTTAAAATCTTGTTTTTGTGGCAGGTTAGCAGCAAAGATGAAGATTTTCTTGATCTCTCTGTTGATGTAGAACAGAATACATCCATAACTCACTGTTTAAGGTAAATACATTTTCACAATGACCAGCATCATTTCTGCTTTATGGTTATTAAATTTTAGTGGGATGTGAAAAGAAAAAAATTCTATAGGTGTTTCAGAATGATGTAGCACAGTGCTGGCGAACCTTTTAGAGACCGAGTGCCCAAACTGCAACCCAAAACCCACTTATGCATTGTCGGGTGCCGGGTGGGTCTGGCCCATTGGCTGGGTGTGGCCCACTGGGTGGGCGTGGCTGCGGTGGTAACGGCAGACTGGGTGGGACTAAAAAGTTTAATCAATCAATTTCAACTTTGCAAGATCTTTTTTTTCCCGCGAGAAGTTGAAATTGATTGATGGAACCTTTTTTTTTTTTTTTTGTACACAGCGGCGGAGGCCTAAAGCGAAAAGGTTTTATAAAACCCAGCTGAAGGCCTAGGACTGGGGCGATGGCGCTCGTGCCCACAGAGAGGGCTCTGAGTGCCGCCTCTGGCACCCGTGCCATACGTTCGCCACCACTGATGTAGCATAAGTCAAATAAAGAAGTATCACTGAAGCTTCTCTTGGCAGGCAGGAAGTTAAGTGAATGGATAATCACTTAAATATGAGACAACAGTGTAGGGCAGCGGCCAAAACAGCCAATGCAATCTTAGTTTGCATTAATAGAGGGATAGAATCAAGAGCACATGAAGTTCTAATACCGCTTTGCAAAGCCTTAGTAAGACCAGACTTGGAGTACTGCATCCAGTTCTGGTCGCCACGCTATAAAAAAGATGTTGAGATTCTGGAAAGAGTGCAGAGAAGAGCAACAAGAATGATTAGGGGGCTGGAGGCTAAAACGCACGAAGAACGGTTACAGGGATTGGGTATGTCCAATCTAATGAAAAGCAGGACTGGCAAGAAGGGATGACATCATAGCAATGTTCCAATATTTGAGGGGCTCCTACAAAGATGAGGGGGTCAAACTATTATCCAAGGCACCAGAAGGCAAGACAAGAAACAATGGGTGGAAACTAACCAAGGAGAGAAGCAACCCAGAACTAAGGAGAAATTTCCTAGTGGTAAGAGCAATCAACCAGTGGAACAGCTTGCCCTCAGAAGTTGTGGGTGCTCCATCACTGGAGGCTTTTAAGAAAAGATTGGCCGGTCACTTGTTTGAAATGGTATAGGGTGTCCTGCTTGAGGAGGGGGTTGGACTAGAAGACCTCCAAGTTCCCTTCCAACTCTATTCTATGTTTTAAGTCAGAGAATACATGGTGTAACAGAATATTTGGCAAAAGATTATACGTTTTTGAATGCCTCTGTTATTTGCTTCAGAGAAGTCCCGTCTATTGTAATAGGACTAGTCAGAATCAAACAGATGGGAATAACTCAAACACAAAAAGAAGCCCAACTAGGAAAGTCATCCATTATTTGTCAGACCAAAAGCCTTCTATTAAATAATGTAAAGTATTTGTTCCCAAGCTTTAGAAACTGGATTTATCATAGCATTTAATTATCCATTATACACCGTTGAATTAAATACCGTACAGGGGGTCCTCAACCACGAAATGTTTTTCTGATCCCGGACTCCATACTTTTGTAATGTTGGGCTGTCATTTTTCCAATGTCATCATCTAGTTTTTTACAGTTTGACAGTCTTGGGAAAATGCTAATAATTTTTATCTGGAATCTTTTATTATGGCTTTTTACTGTTTTTACGTGCATGTTTCTGTTTCATGCCTTGCTGGCTGTGCTAAATTGGGTAGCCATCTGTATTTGTCAAATAAATGAATCTGTATGTAGGAAGGAGAGAGTTCTACTACCCGCGCACTTCATTTGTATAAAAGCATCCTGTTTGTGCCTACGATTGCCTCAAGATAATTTCCCTACTCAACAACTGGCGTGAAGCTGCCATGAAGCCAGGCGTAATAAACCATTCACAGCCATCTAAAAATTGATACCTCTATTACTTTTCAGAGACTTCAGCAATACCGAAACGTTGTGTAGCGAACAGAAATACTACTGTGAGACCTGCTGCAGCAAACAGGAGGCTCAGAAACGGTATGTGAATATGCTTAAAAAGAATGAAACGTTGATTATATAGCAGTGGCCAAAATTGTGGAAACCTTTTGGGAAAAGTGTACAGTAGAAATGCCACCTTTAGTTAAGTTTCCACCCATTTTTCTTCTATTTTCTTTATAACTGTAGCCTTGTTCACTTAATAATACTATTTTACATCGCTTTCTGGGCAACCAGTCAACTCTTTGCACCATTACTTTAATTTTATTACGTTTTACAAGCTCACTAAATGAAAGAACACAAAAAAACCCCCAACCAACTTGATAGCGATCACATAACACACTGACACATGTCCTCCTCTCAGCTTCAATACGTGACATCGATAACTGAATCCTACTGTGATCTGATTGGCTCATTGCCAGAACAAGAGGACACCCGATTGGCTCTCTAAACACTCATGCTCATTGGCTACAATCAGATGAAAGAAAGCTATCTGATATCAACCTAAGCGAGTTTTGTTTCCTTTTTCTGGTTATTTGGCTATAGCAGCGGTTCTCAACCTATGGGTCGCGACCCCATTTGGGGTCGATCAACCATTTCACGGGGATCGCCAAGCAAGGCTGTCCGCCATTTTTTTCCCCTTTTCCGGCGGGTGCCTTACCTCCCTTGGGCTGGGCCAGCTGGTGGTCGGCCTGCTCCGTCTCTGCTGCTTGCCAGCTACGCCTCGGCCGGCGCAGGGGGCGGAACCACGCATGCGTGGCGCTCCCGGGCAGGGAAAGTCCTCGACTTACGACCGGTTGGGTAGTCCTCGACTTACGACCGGTTGGGGGTCGCGGCATTAAAAAGGTTGAGAACCACTGGGCTATAGCTTTTCATAGAATGCAGTACAGATAATTGAACAAACTATGTTGCATTACATTCTTGATTAAATTATCTTTCCATTGATATATAATTTTATGGTACTACTCCCCAAAAAAAGTGGTGTCATTAGCCATCAAACCTCAAAAATACACTTTTCCCAAAAGGTTTCCACAATTTTGGCCACGACTATAAATGTATTCTAGCTTAAGAGAGATACGTTTGCTTGTTTTTTTGACAGTATATTATTTTTCTCTTTGGTTCTCTCTGTTTCAAGATATGAAAAATCTAAGTGTTGGGATGGTTTATATGAGGGAAAAGATTTCAATATATAAGTGTAATTAACTCTTAAGAAAATTTTAACAGGTAAAAATGTTTTCTTTTGAATATTGTGGGGAAAATAAATTTAAATGAGAACTTTAAAAACAAGATCCATGATAAGATGATCTAGATGATGAATTAGAAAAAGAAGCTCAATAATGAGGTGTAGGTTATTCGTGGATATTTAATTGTTATCTTCTAAAATTATCAAGAAATGTGCTAATTTAAGGTTGATAAAAGAGAATATTATTGGAAGGAAAGCTACTATGTGGAATATGGAACTATAGAAACTAACTGTTATTGATTATTTGTAAATACAAACCCAGACAACACACTGTTTACCAAATATTGATGGTGATATGTAAAAAAAACAATAAAACATATTAAAAAAAAAGAAATTGTATGTGAAAGAGGGTTGCCTCATCACCATGCAGCTTCAGTTGATTTTCAAGCAGCAATTAAAGCAAATTGAAATCTTTTTGGCTTTAGGTCCTTGCTGAAGACCCAGTATTTTTACTGTGGTTTCCTCAACATAAGTTGGAATAACATTTCAGATAATAGCAATAGCACTTAGACTTATATACCGCTTCATAGCCCTCTTTAAGCGGTTTACAGAGTCAGCCTATTGCCCCCAACTATCTGGGTCCTCATTTTACCGACCTCAGAAGGATGGAAGGCTGAGTAAACCTTGAGCTGGTCAGGATCGAACTGCTGACAGTGGGCAAAGTCTGCTTCCTAATGCTGCATTCTAACCACTGAGCCACCACAGCATCACAGATAAAGCTTGGTTCTGCCTGTTTTGTTAAAGTATCTGTTTACATAAAGTTTTATTTGTTTCTGCCTATATTTGTCCAGAATTCCTTACTATACAACTTCTAAATCCAGCTTCTTTTCGCCCCCGAATTCCCTGTTGTCTTCTGGATCCTGAATCTGTAGGTCTGTTACTTAAGATTGTAGACCTGTTCATTAGGATGTGCTTCCTAACCAAATTCATAGGCATCCAGAATGGAAACTGTTTGTGTTAGTCATTCAGAACTTCCATTGATGTATTTACTGGTCTGTTGGCTGCAATAAAAAACAATTTTATTTTCCTCAGGACACAAAGACATGTATGGTCATTAGAATGGCTAAATTTATTGTTCAGCTGAGAACGTGTTTTATAGAGGTCATTAAGGGAACCTGTAAACGTTATGCATTATCTAAACCTGTGTTTCTCAACCTCAGATATGTGGACTTTAAGAATTCTCCAGGCAGCAATTTTACCTCACTTTTATCTTTTCATTTATCTTACCTTACTGTATCTCATCTTACTTCTTTTTAATTCTCCTTTAGTGAAGTTGATCTCATTGTTTGTTGATAGTCAATTGACTAGTCAAGTTGTCCAATACGATATGACAGCCGTTCATGGAAGATTGTAGGAGGAACAAAAACACAAATGTTTCGTTCTTTTCCTTGGTGGTAATAGCAGCCTAACACGGTTCTCCTTCCAAGTAGCTCTCAAAATTTGGTTCTCCACACGCAGGAGAATGAGATGGTGGAGCCATTAAATCAGACATACTTCCTGAAGAGAAAAAACAACAACATTACCATGACAGAGAAGTCAAATGATATGTCCAGCCTGCATTTCCAGTTCAAGTTTTCTTGAATGTTCAAATTGATTCATCTCTAACTGTGGTGCTTTGGAGGAGGGGGTGAGGAGAGGAGATAAACTATTTTATTTTGGACAGCTGTAGATTTTGTTTTAAAGGAAGTGTGAAGTTTTCTTTTGAACAAACTACTTTTTTTTAAAAAAAAAGTGCTAATTATTATGGAGATGAAGAGAAAAGACACAGGTTTGAAGTATAACTTTAATGTCAGATAAAAGTAAATTATTCCCCTAGCCCAGGGGTAGGCAACCTTGGCTCTTTTATGACTCGTGGACTTCAATTCCCAGAATTCCTGAGCCAGCCATGCTGAGGGGAAAGGGAGAGGTTTCCAAGCTGAGCCATGCTGGCTCAGGAATTCTGGGAGTTGAAGTCCACGAGTCATAAAAGAGCCAAGGTTGCCTACCCCTGCCCTAGCCCACTAGTAGATAAAATGCTGTCTCTGCAGCTTTCTCAAAACTGATGCCCTCCAGATATATTGGAATTACAACATCCAAAATTCCTAACCACTATGCCCAAGGTGCCTCATGGTTATGAGCGTCCCAAAACACCCAGAAGGTCTCCAGTTAGGGCAGTGGTTCTCAACCTGTGGGTCGGGACCCCATTTGGGGTCGATCGACCATTTCACGGGGGTCGCCAAGCAAGGCTGTCCGCCATTTTTTTTGTGCGCCATTTTTTTTGTCCGCCATTTTTTCCCCCTTTTCCAGCGGGTGCCTTACCTCCCTTGGGCTGGGCCAGCTGGTGGTCGGCTTGCTCCGTCTCTGCCGCTTGCCAGCTACGCCTCGGCCGGCGCAGGGGGCGGAACCACGCATGTGCGGTGCTCCCGGGCAGGGAAAGTCCTCGACTTACGACCGGTTGGGCAGTCCTCGACTTATGACCGGTTTAGTCCTCGACTTATGACCGGTTTAGTCCTCGACTTACGACCGGTTTAGTCCTCAACTTACGACCAGTTGGGGTCGCGGCATTAAAAAGGTTGAGAACCACTGAGTTAGGGGAAAGCAGATTAGAGGGAGTCAACCTTCATTCCGCATTCCTCTTTCGGCTTTGTAGGATGAGAGTTAAGAAGCTGCCGATGATCCTCGCCTTGCACCTGAAGCGGTTCAAGTACATGGAGCAGCTACACCGATACACAAAGCTCTCTTACCGAGTGGTGTTCCCCCTGGAGCTGCGACTCTTCAACACATCGGGGGAGGCCATCAACCTGGACCGTATGTATGACTTGGTGGCTGTTGTCGTTCACTGTGGCAGGTAAGTTGCACTCTGTGTTCTGCCAGGAAATAAACCTTTTGTAAGGAATATGAGTTTTACCCAGCTTTTCAATCCGGAAGCCAAAATAAGGTTCCCTTCTCTTGCACCGAAGATTTTTTTTATCTATCCGGGGATAGCTGAGGCATTCAAAAGTAGGCAAGCTTATAAAGTTAAAATAGCAAGAGCGCTTATCTACCGCGTCACGGTGCTTTACATCCCTCTCTAAGTGGTTTACAGAGTCAGTCTATTGACCCCAACAACCTGGGTCCTCATTTTATCGACCTCGGAAGGATGGAAAGCTGAGTCAGCCTTGAGCCGTTCAGAATCGAACTGCTGGCAATCAGCAGAGTTAGCCTGCAATATTGCATTCTAAGCACTGCGCCCACCAGGGCTCTTTCGATGGTCCTGTAGGCCTTTGGGAGTTTGTAATATTCATTCATTCATTCATTCATTCATTCAAGGAGATAGCTTGGTTGTGTAGAAAGAGAGAAAGAAAAGGGAATTAGCCTGCTCAGATTTTTAGAAGGAAGAGGTATATTAATCTTTTTTAAAAAAAATCCCATCTGCATCTTAGTGGGAATAAAAGGAATGAGAAGGTTCCTTTTCCATATTCCGTTGGTATACAATTCCCACATGTGTCACTGTTCTGTTCCTTCATTTTTGTATAGAAGGGGCACCAATTTTGTGCATCCCCTAGCACAGGGGAAGGCAACCTTGGCTCTTTTATGACTCGTGGACTTCAACTCCCAGAATTCCTGAGCCAGCATGAGGGAACTATGGCCCCTTCATGACTTGTGGACTTCAGCTCCCAGAATTCCTGAGCCAGCATGGCTCAGCTTGGAAACCTCTCCCTTTCCCCTCAGCATGGCTGGCTCAGGAATTCTGGGAGTTGAAGTCCACGAGTCATAAAAGAGCCAAGGTTGCCTACCCCTGCTCTAGCAGTTGCACACCATATTTGTGTATGAGGAGAATCTGGCTGCCAGATTTCGTTTCTTTGCATAAACACAAGGTCACACTAAACATAGCTTGTGTAGTAACCTCAGCGTTACTCCCATGTAGTTATAAAATATTCAGGAGTGGAAATGAGCTAACTTAAAAGACTAACTGATCCCTTTTGCACATTCCCCAAAATTAGACAATCTGTCCCATCGTGAAAGCATCAAATGGTGCCTTCTACCCAGTGCAGGAACACAGCTTAGCTGATAACAGCTGTCAGGGAGATGTTTTCTACATCAATGCTATCTTATCTTTTAAAGGAGTACAGTGAGAAGGAAGGGAAGGGATATTTTGTCTGTGCTGGAGACAAATAGCTGAGGAAAGACACACTCATTTTGTGCTTTGCTTTTAAGACTTCTTCAGACAACTGATGACTGATTGCTTAAGTGCAAAACATTGGACTAGATTTTCTGGTCTCATCCTGACAAACAGGAAAATAGCTATTTCCGAGCAGTTAATGTAGGCACAGTTCTGATTTTCAATCCAAAATGCCTGATTTTTCTGCAGGTCACACACTTTTTTTTTCTCCGTTGGCTGGTGTGGGGCTCAGGGGCTCAAGAGTTCGGCAAATTAGAGGCCAACAAGGGCTCTTAATGAATTCAAATCTCCGCCATCTTATTCCCGGCATTAAAGACACCAACATTACGAGTCGGTATCCAAAGCGTGAGATACCGACTCGTAAATGTTGGTGTCTTTAATGCCGGGAATAAGATGGCGGAGATTTGAATTCATTAAGAGCCCTTGTTAAAAAATATGGTCCTGTGTGCAAGCTGGGGGCTGAAAGATGAATGAGTAACGAAGTCGCAGAACATCCCATTAAAACTAAAATAAAATGCTTACGCTAATAATTGATCTGGATACAGATAAGCTTACTTACCATTCAATTGTGGCCGGTGTTCGTTGTATTCAGAGTCTAAGCTAGGTTTATGAAGAGATCCCTGAACACAGAGAAAACTCACTGCTGTCTCAACTATGGGAGGGAAGCCAAAAAAAAGGACACTTCCTGTGTGGTTAAATCCAGAGATTTATTTCACCAACAATAAGTCAGGGGATAAATAGTCACAGGACCAGCATGTGAAGCTCTGTCCCTCCATCTGTCTCACGTCACTGGTCCTGTCAGTCCAAATAACTACTTAATGCAAAGAGATGGTTCAGTCCCCCACAGAAATAAAGATTCAAATGTCATGTTTCAGTGAAGAGCAGTCCCCCCCCCATTTTAAATGGTCTTTTTAAAACAGTGGTTCTCAACCTGTGGGTCAGGACCCCATTTGGGGTCGATAGACCATTTCACGGGGGTCGCCAAGCAAGGCTGTCTGCCATTTTTTTTGTCCGCCATTTTTTCCCCCTTTTCCGGCGGGTGCCTTACCTCCCTTGGGCTGGGCCAGCTGGTGGTCGGCCTGCTCCGTCTCTGCCGCTTACTAGCTACGCCTCGGCCGGCGCAGGGGGCGGAACCTCGCATGTGCAGCGCTCCCGGGCAGGGAAAGTCCTCGACTTACGACCGGTTGGGTAGTCCTTGACTTACGACCGGTTTAGTCCTCGACTTACGACCGGTTGGGGTCGCGGCATTAAAAAGGTTGAGAACCACTGTTTTAAAAGGTCAGAAACTCTTATGGCCAAGCAGCATGACATGGCGAATCAGCTCTGGGAGAAAACCTTGCATATTTTTTTTTGAAACCTCTTTCCCTCAGGCAGTCCCGGGGGGTGTGTGTAAGCAAAGAGTGGATAGAAATAATGAGAACGTGAGGAATATATTTGTTTTATTTATTTATTGTACAATCTATACCGCCCGCGTAAAGAACTCTGGGGCTTTGAAGCACAAGAGACACCAACTAATGATGGGGAACAGCTACGAGGGCAAGAAGATAGATTCTCCGGGGGGGAAAGGCCTGTTCAGTGCCAACTGCAAAAATTGGAGCCAGCTCTGGCTAGAAAACAAGAATAATAAACAACTGAATCTGTCTGCAAAGGGTTGCTTAACCCAGTAGGGTGGCTGGGAGGAAGCTGGCCTCACAGCTTTGGCTATGTGCACTGTTTTAAAAAGGGCAGCTGAGCGTGCTGTATAAAAACATTCCTGTACACTGGAGACTAGATGTTAGATGTGATGTTTAAAGAGCCATTTGTTTTTGTTTTATTTTTCTGTACCGTAACTGAGTCTGGACTGCCCCCCTCTCCTTACTCAGCTCAGCCTGGTCAAGCAATCCTGAAACTGTGCTGGTGCTTTTTCCGGTCCCTTGAAAAATGTTGATCCTTGCAGAAGAGCCCTACTATTATAATTATAATAATAATAATAATAATAATAATAATAATAATAATAATAATAATAATGATGATGATGATGATGATGATGATGATGATGATGATGATGATGATGATGATGATTGATGATGATGATGATGATGATGATGATGATGATGATGATGATGATAATAATAATAATAATAATAATAATAATAATAATAATAATAATAATAATAAAAAAAGTTGGAAGGGACCTTGGAGGTCATTGAGTTCAACCCCCTGCTCAGGCAGGAAACCTACACCATTTCGGACAAATGGCTGTCCAGTCTCTAATAATAATAATAATAATAATAATAATAATAATAATAACAACAACAACAATAATAATAATAATAATGATGATGATGATGATGATAATGATAAAGTTGGAAGGTGCCTTGGAGGTCATCTAGTCCAACCCCTTACTCAGGCAGAAAACCCTACACCATTTCGGACAAATGGCTGTCCAGTCTCTTCTTAAAAACTTCCAGTGCTGGAGCATTCACCGCTTCTGGAGGGAGGTTGTTCCACTGGTTAATTGTTCTAACTGTCAGGAAGTTTCTCCTTAGTTCTAGGTTGCTTCTCTCCTTGATTAGTTTCCATCTGTTGCTTTTTGTCCTGCCTTCAGGTGCTTTGGAGAATAGCTTGACTCCCTCTCCTTCGTGGGGCAGCCCCTGAGATATTGGAACACTGCTATCATGTCCCCCCTCGTCCTTCTCTTCATTAAACTAGACATACCCAATTCCAGCAACCGTTCCTCATATGTTTTAGCCTCCAGTCCCCTAATCATCTTTGTTGCTCTTCTCTGTACTCTTTCTAGAGTCTCAACATCTTTTTTACATTGTGGTGACCAAAACTGGATGCAGTATTTCAAGTGTGGCCTTACCAAGGCATTGTAAAATGGTATTAATACTTCACGTTATCTTGATTCTATCCCTCTGTTAATGCAGCCCAGCACTGTGTTGGCCTTTTTGGCAGCTGCAGCACACGGCTGGCTCATATTTAAGTGATTGTCCACTAGGACAATTAGACTTTAGTCTCCCTGTGTCTGATACATTCAGCGGCTGTTTGATGGGATTTAGTATTATGAAGGTTGACTCGAAGTACATGTGCGCATAGACACACACACCTTCCCTCCCATGTCTTCACTTTTTGGCCCACTTGCCATTGGAACATTGATGGTACCAAATTGAACATGGAGACTCATATGGAGAACATCACCTGTAGACCTGCGCACTTGTGTGTGAAAGAAAGAGCGAGAACAGGATTCAGTGTCACCCTTGGCTTCTAGGGAGAAGGGAAAGTCAACACGGATATTTTGCTCCGTTACTTTTGTGTTTAGAAAATTCTCCAGTATTTTGGTTTTATATTTTAATTTGTGGGGTGTTTTTTTTCCTTCCTTCCTTCCTTCCTTCCTTCCTTCCTTCCTTCCTTCCTTCCTTCCTTCCTTCCTTCCTTCCTTCCTTTTCAGTGGCCCTAACCGTGGACACTATATCACCATTGTGAAAAGTCATGGCTTCTGGCTATTGTTTGATGATGATATTGTAGAGGTGAGTAAATTGACTACTTTAAGCAAACCTACTGAGCCTTAATTTAGCCCAGGGGCAGGCAACCTTGGCTCTTTTATGACTCGTGGACTTCAACTCCCAGAATTCTTGAGCTAGCCATGCTGAGGGGAAAGGGGAAGATTTCCATGCTGAGCCATGCTGGCTCAGGAATTCTGAGAGTTGAAGTCCACGAGTCATAAAAGAGCCAAGGTTGCCTACCCCTGATTTAGCCTGTTTATGCACTGCAGCATTTCATTTGCTGAAAGTAAAATCCTTATTATTCCAATCTAAGGCGGCCTTTCTCTATCTTGTCAACTTTAAGATGTGTGGATTCCAACTCCCAGAATTCCTCAGCCAGCTTAATGGATAACAGTAATAATATCCCTCTTTCCCTTGTGATTTGGAGCGACCCGTGTCTTCCATGTTTTTTTCAGCACTGCCTTCAGGGACTGATAAAAAAAAAAGTCAAGATGGCAGCTAGAACACAGGTAGTCCTCAATTTAGGAATAGTTGCCGAGCAACTATTCAAAGTTACCTCCGCATGGCCACTGACAACCTAAGTTGTCAAAGTTCTAACAGCCACTCCCCTCCCCCTCCCGGGCTGTGTAATCACAGTGTAGGTCCTTGGCAACTAGCCGACATTTACGACCGTTCGTAACAACCCACGTCCTTGATCATGATTTACATTTTTGCTGCAAACGAACATTTAATTTGGCTTCCAGCAAAGATCACCCACGGCGGACATGGATTTGCTTATATTTACTGTCTTCCCTTAACACCTTTGGTGGCATTTGTCAAATGACTGCAGTGATTCATTTAATGACCACCATAAAAACGTAAAATAGGGTGTGGTCATTTATTGACCCTCTTAATAACCAGCATAATCTATGACTGTAATTTCAGCCTCGTTTACAGTCGTAAGTCGACGACTATCTGTAGTGCAGTCAACGCAGACATTGGTAATGTTGTTGCAGCCATACCTAGGCACCATTTTTTTTGTTACAGCACTTTTTTGACCATACCACGTGGATACCACTAGTCCTTTACAACAGTTTGTAGCTCCGTCTTATAACTCCGGCTTGCTAATCGAAGTTCCATCTTGGAAGTTTTAATGATGACTTTGTCTGCTTTGTATTTATCAGATCACCCTCTGAACATCACATGCAGAAGGGCTGCAAAATGTCCTACAGCTGCCCTTGTTTTAGTCAGAGTAATATCTTAATTTGAGGATTATGTAAACAAAAATATGTTTTGTGTTGTTTTATGTCTCGTCACATGTCACTGACCGCCATAATGTTTTTGAATCAGGAATCATTATACCAAGATACCACCGTTACGAAGGGAAAAAGAGGCAAAAGTTGTTTTTTTCCCCTAAGAATCAGTTGAATTCACACAAAAGAGTCTTGGATTAAACAAACCTTAATAAAGTTTGAGTTGTCAGACGTTCAGACCAGGAATAGTCCAAAGAGCTCAGCTGTTCACAATTTTTCCAGCCATGAGGGAGAAATACATGTATATGTATTGCAAGTACGAAGTTTGTGGAAAGAGCTAACTGTTTTGTACCTGGTTGTCTAGGCCAGATCACATTGCTAAAATCATGATATCAGTTCCTGAAACTTTTGATAGCTTCTCTCTTTTCTTTTCTCCCCTTAGAAAATTGATGCACAAGCTATTGAAGAATTCTATGGCCTTNATACCATTTCAGACAAATGGCTGTCCAGTCTCTTCTTAAAAACTTCCAGTGTTGGAGCATTCACCGCTTCTGGAGGCAGGTTGTTCCACTGGTTAATTGTTCTAACTGTCAGGAAGTTTCTCCTTAGTTCTAGGTTGCTTCTCTCCTTGATTAGTTTCCATCCATTGCTTCTTGTCCTGCCTTCAGGCGCTTTGGAGAACAGCTTGACTCCCTCTTCTTTGAGGCAGCCCCTGAGATATTGGAACACTGCTATCATGTCCCCCCTCGTCCTTCTCTTCATTAAACTAGACCAGGGGTAGGCAACCCAAAACACTCAAAGAGCCACTTGGACTCGTTTCCCACAGAAAAAAAAACACTGGGAGCCGCAAAACCCTTTTGATATCTAAAATGAAGATAACACTGCATATATCCTGTTTTACCTTTTATGTATTTATATGTATGTATGTATGTATGTGTTTGTGTGTGTATATATAAAATAAAGGTAAAAAAGGATATATGCATTGTTACCTTCATTTTAGATGTCAAAAGGGTCTCTCTGTCTCTCTCTTTCCTCTATTTCTCTTTCCTCTCTCTTTCCTCTCTTTTTTCTTTCCTCTTTTTCTCTTTCCTCTCCCCCTCTCACTTTCTCTCTCTCTTTCCTTTCTCTCTTTCATCTTTCTCTCTTTCCTCTCTCTTTCCTATTTCTCTTTCTCTCTTTCCTCTCTGTCTCTTTTCTCTCTCTTTCTCTCCTCTTTCCTCTCTTTCCTCAATCTTTTTTCTCTTTCTTTCCCTCTTTCCTCTCTTTTTCTCTTTCCTCTCCCCCTCTTTCTCTCTCTCCTCTCCCTCTTTCTCTCCCTTTCTTTCTCTTTCCTCTCCCCCTCTTTCCTTTCTTTTTCTCTTTCCTCTCCCCCTCTTTCTCTTTCCTCTCCCTCTTTCCTCTCCCTCTTTCTCTCCCTTTCTTTCTCTTTCCTCTCTCCTCTTTCTCTCTCTCTTTCCTCTTTCTCTCTTTCCTCTCTCTCTCTCTCTGTCTTTCTTTCCTCTTTCTCTTTCCTCTTTCTCGGGTGGGGAGGGGGAGCAGGATGGGAGGCAGCGGTGGCGGTGGTGGCAGCCATTGCTGCATCGTCAGGGTTCCCCGCCGCCACCCCCGGCCCGGCCGCCACCCCCACCGTGTCCTCAGCCGAACGGGCGGGGAGGGGGAGAAGGACGGGAGACAGCGTTGGCGGCGGCACTGCAACTTCGTCGGGGTTCCCCGCTGCCGCCCCCGGCCCGACCGCCGCCCTCGCCGGTACTCTACGCTGCCCTGCCTTGCCCTCTGCCCATCAATGGAGCCGCGGTGGAGGCAGCGCCCGCCCGAGCTGCCTGGGGGGCACCAGGAGGAAGGAGAGGAGGAGGGCGAGGAAGCCGCTGCCCCAGCCGGGACTCCGCGCTGCCTGGCCTTGCCCTCCGCCATCTGATGGAGCCGTGGTGGGGGTTGGGGCTGCGCGGCCCCTGCCAGCCCAGCTGCTCCCCCCTGGCACCCTTCTTGCCCCGGCACCCGCCTGAGCCGCCTTGGTGGCAGCAGGAGGAAAAAGGGGAGGAGGAAGAGAAGGGCAAGGAAGCCGCCACCAGCGCCAGGCCCCAGGAGGCGGCTCTCCTCTCCTACCTCGCCCTCCGCCCATCCGATTAAGCCGCGGTGGGGGCTGGTGCTGCGCGGCCTGCCAGCCCCTCCGCCAGCTCGGCTGCTCCCCCCCAGGCACCCCTCTTCCTCCCGGCGCCCGCCCGAGCCGCCTTGGAGGCGGCAGGAGGAAGGAGAGGAGAAGGGCGAGAAAACCGCTGCTGCCGTCCCAGCCGCGACTCCGCGCTGCTTGGCCTCGCCCTTTGCCCATTCAATGAAGCCGCGGTGGGGGCTGGGGCCACGCGGCCCGCTAGCCCCTCCGCCAGCTCGGCTGCTCCCCCCCAGGCACCCCTCTTCCTCCCGGCGCCCGCCCGAGCCGCCTTGGAGGCAGCAGGAGGAAGGAGAGGTGAAGGGCGAGAAAACCGCTGCCGCCGTTTCAGCCATGACTCCGCGCTGCCCGACCTCGCCCTCCGCCCATTCGATGGAGCCGCGGTGGGGGCTGGGCCCACGCGGCCCGCTAGCCCCTCCGCCAGCCCGGCTGCTCCTCCCAGGCAACCCTCTTGCCCCGGCGCCCACCCGAGCCGCCTTGGGGGCAACAGGAGGAAGAAGGGGAGGAGGAAGAGGATGGCAAGGAAGCCGCCGCCAGCGCTGGGCCCCAGGAGGCAGCTCTCCTCTCCTACCTTTGCTGAATCTCCTTCCTTCCCGGCAGCCTGGACTCCGGCGCGCCTTCCTGGCCAGCGGGTCCAAAGGGTCGGGCTGGCTGGGGATCGCAGGGGCTGGTCTCCCTTGGGCCGCAGCTTGCGGGAGGGCTGTCCCGTTCAGCGGAGCCTCCAGCGGGCCGCTCCCATCAGGGATCCCGGGGCTTCCCCGGGCGGCTTCAAGGCCACGAGGCCCTGGCCACGCTTCTCCCAGGGGGTGGGGCACCCGGGCACAGGGCCAATCAGGAGCCCTGCAGGAGGTAAGTCCGCCTGAGAGAGAGAAGGGAAGCGAAAGTGCCTCTCTGTCTCTCTCTCTGCAAATGGCGGAGGAGGCTCCGGAGCCGCAGGTGATGGCTCAAAGAGCCGCATGCGGCTCCGGAGCCGCGGGTTGCCGACCCGTGAACTAGACATACCCAATTCCAGCAACCGTTCCTTATATGCTTTAGCCTCCAGTCCCCTGATCATCTTTGTTGCTCTTCTCTGTACTCTTTCTAGAATCTCAGCATCTTTTTTACATCGTGGTGACCAAAACTGGATGCAGTATTCCAAGTGTGGCCTTACCAAGGCATTGTAAAGTGGTATTAACACTTCACGTGATCTTGATTCTATCCCTCTGTTAATGCAGCCCAGCACTGTGTTGGCCTTTTTGGCAGCTGCAGCACACGGCTGGCTCATATTTAAGTGATTGTCCACTAGGACAATTAGACTTTAGTCTCCCTGTGTCTGTTTGATACATTCAGGGGCTGTTTGGTGGGATTTAGTATTATGAAGGTTGACTCGAAGTACATGTGCGCGTAGACACACACACCTTCCCTCCCATGTCTTTACTTTTTGGCCCACTCGCCATTGGAACATTGGTGGTACCAAACTGAACATGGAGGCTCATATGGAGAACATCCCCTGTAGACCTGCGCACTTGTGTGTGAAAGAAAGAGCGAGAACAGGATTCAGTGTCACCCTTGGCTTCTAGGGAGAAGGGAAAGTCAACACGGATATTTTGTTTCGTTACTTTTGTGTTTAGAAAATTCTCCAGTATTTTGGTTTTATATTTTAATTTGTGGGGTGTTTTTTTTCCTTCCTTCCTTCCTTCCTTCCTTCCTTCCTTCCTTCCTTCCTTCCTTCCTTCCTTTTCAGTGGCCCTAACCGTGGACACTATATCACCATTGTGAAAAGTCATGGCTTCTGGCTATTGTTTGATGATGATATTGTAGAGGTGAGTAAATTGACTACTTCAAGCAAACCTACTGAGCCTTAATTTAGCCCAGGGGTAGGCAACCTTGGCTCTTTTATGACTCGTGGACTTCAACTCCCAGAATTCCTGAGCCAGCCATACTGAGGGGAAAGGGAGAGGTTTCCATGCTGAGCCATGCTGGCTCAGGAATTCTGGGAGTTGAAGTCCACGAGTCATAAAAGAGCCAAGGTTGCCTACCCCTGATTTAGCCTGTTTATGCACTGCAGCATTTCATTTGCTGAAAGTAAAATCCTTATTATTCCAATCTAAGGCGGCCTTTCTCTACCTTGTCAACTTTAAGATGTGTGGATTCCAACTCCCAGAATTCCTCAGCCAGCTTAATGGATAACAGTAATATCCCTCTTTCCCCGGTGATTTGGAGGGACCCGTGTCTTCCATGTTTTTTTCAGCACTGCCTTCAGGGACTGATAAAAAAAAAATCAAGATGGCAGCTAGAACACAGGTAGTCCTCAATTTAGGAACAGTTGCCTAGCAACTATTCAAAGTTACCTCCGCATGGCCACTGACAACCTAAGTTGTCAAAGTTCTAACAGCCACTCCCCTCCCCCTCCTGGGCTGTGTAATCACAGTGTAGGTCCTTGGCAACTAGCCGACATTTACGACCGTTCGTAACAACCCACGTCCTTGATCATGATTTACATTTTTGCTGCAAACGAACATTTAATTTGGCTTCCAGCAAAGATCACCCACGGCGGACATGGATTTGCTTATATTTACTGTCTTCCCTTAACACCTTTGGTGGCATTTGTCAAATGACTGCAGTGATTCATTTAATGACCACCATAAAAACGTAAAATAGGGTGTGGTCATTTATTGACCCTCTTAATAACCAGCATAATCTATGACTGTAATTTCAGCCTCGTTTACAGTCGTAAGTCGAAGACTATCTGTGGTGCAGTCAATGCAGACATTTGTAATGTTGTTGCAGCCATACCTGTGCACCATTTGTTTTGTTACAGCATTTTTTTGACCATATCACGTGGATACCACTAGTCCTTTACAACAGTTTGTAGCTCCGTCTTATAACTCCAGCTTGCTAATCGAAGTTCCATCTTGGAAGTTTTAATGATGACTTTGTCTGCTTTGTATTTATCAGATCACCCTCTGAACATCACATGCAGAAGGGCTGCAAAATGTCCTACAGCTGCCCTTGTTTTAGTCAGAGTAATATCTTAATTTGAGGATTATGTAAACAAAAATATGTTTTGTGTTGTTTTATGTCTCGTCACATGTCACTGACCGCCATAATGTTTTTGAATCAGGAATCATTATACCAAGATACCACCGTTACGAAGGGAAAAAGAGGCAAAAGTTGTTTTTTCCCCCTAAGAATCAGTTGAATTCACACAAAAGAGTCTTGGATTAAACAAACCTTAATAAAGTTTGAGTTGTCCGACGTTCAGACCAGGAATAGTCCAAAGAGCTCAGCTGTTCACAATTTTTCCAACCATGAGGGAGAAATACATGTATATGTATTGCAAGTACGAAGTTTGTGGAAAGAGCTAACTGTTTTGTACCTGGTTGTCTAGGCCAGATCACATTGCTAAAATCATGATATCAGTTCCTGAAACTTTTGATAGCTTCTCTCTTTTCTTTTCTCCCCTTAGAAAATTGATGCACAAGCTATTGAAGAATTCTATGGCCTTACTTCTGATATATCAAAGAATTCAGAATCTGGATATATTTTATTTTACCAGTCAAGGGAATGATTCAGGAAGACTGTGACTTTCTCCATACTAGAGTGGATCCTGACCAACACTGTTAAATGACTACTCTGTAGACCTGACCAATACAGCCCATGCAGGATCATTGCTTACTCATTGACTAAAACTCCTAACTTATGTCTAGAAGCTTCTCCCATCTTAAGTCATCAAGAAAAAGAACAAATGTATAGAGACTCATGTTCATCAGATGAATCCACTGAATTGAGGTATAATGTGGAATAGATGCTTACGTCGCCACTAAGGACCATTTCCTTCCATTCCTTTTCAGCAGCGATTTTTCAGACTGTTCTATGTGGAATTAATTGAATTTCTTAGAAGATCCATGAGTGTTTTCAGATCACTCCAAATGAGAGCAATCTATAAGGTATCGACTAAGGGGGTCTACGACAATTTGCTGCAGCCAGCTCGCCCCAGCCAATTTGCCGTGGGACGAGTTGCACTCATATCAAAGAAATAGAAATAAAATCATTAGAGGATGCTAAAGGTGGGACAAAACGAAACGTGAATGACAAAACTTAACATAATTTTAAACTATTTAATTATTCAGATTAAATTGAATCGGTCCACATGTCTATGGAGGTTCTCACTCCATCCAGGTCGTGGTTGTCCCAAAGATGCTTTTTTCAAGAGGCAACTGGACTTTCTTGTTTTTCTTTGAAGATGTTTCACTTCTCATCCAAGGAACTTCTTCAGCTCTGACTGGATGGTGGGGAGTGGAAGGATTTATACTCCTTGCAGACAGCTGGTCATTGGCGTTCCTTTAGAGAGTCGTTGAAACCATTCTGGAGGATTACCTGTGTCCTCAGGGTCACCTGAGTAGTGCAAATGGGTGTGTGGAGCCTTCTTGACTTGCAGGGTGTTTCCCTTCACTGTTGAAGACAGGCACACAGGCTGTTGGGGATGGGTCTGTGCTGTCTGCATCTCAAACTGAAGCACAGAGGGTTCCCGTAGTCTGCAATATTTTCTGTGCTTCAGTTAGAGATGCAGACAGCACAGACTCATCTCCAACAGCCTGTGTGCCTGTCTTCAACAGTGAAGGGAAACACCCTGCAAGCCAAGAAGGCTCCACACCCATTTGCACCACTCAGGTGACCCTAAGGACACAGGTAAACCTCCAGGTGGCCTCAACGACTCTCTAAAAGAATGCAACTGACCAGCTTTCTGCAAGGAGTATAAATCCTTCCACTCCCCACCATCCAGTCAGAGCTGAAGAAGCTTCCTGGTGGAGAAGCGAAACGCCTTCAGAAGAAACACAAGAAAGTCCAGTTGCCTCCTGAAAAAAAGCACCTTTGGGTGAATTGTCCCACAGCGAGTTGTCCTATGATGATGAGTTGGCCATGGCGAGTTGTCCTGCAGCGGGTTGGCCACAGTAAGTTCGCCATGGTGAGTTGGCTGCAGCAAGTTGTCCCATTCCACTACTAAGGTCCCCATCAGACCTGCTGGCTCATTGCTGATCCCCAGAGGGACAGAGAAAGGGAGGAAGAAGCTGTGTTTGAAGAAGCAAGAATACATTCTCACCAAGAATAGGATCAGCCGGAGATACTTCACTCAAGCCACTTCTCCAAAACCAGGAACTATAGTTGATACCAATTCCTTAAAGCAGCTTTTCCCGGCCTGTAGATTTCTAGATGTTTTAGGCTGCAACTTGCCTCTTGAATTTTTCACATACTGTTCAGGGATAGTGTTAAGTTGTCTAAAACATCAGGGGGGCACCCAGCTTAGGGGATGTTGGTTTTTTCCATCTGTTTGCTCCATAATTATAGTACATGTAGTCCTCGTCTTACGACCGTAATTGAACTACATCCAAGTTTATGACCTTATTGGCAATAGTCATTAGGTAAAAGCGGTGGTTTTTAAAACAAACCTGTTTTAGCCAACGGCTAGATGGAAGTAAATGATAGTTTCCTGCAGAAATAAAAAATTGCGGAAAACCAGTCATGTGATCACAGGATGCCACAAGTGGCCAGAAAAGTGAGCTTGGTTGCCAAGTACCCAAAATGTAATCACATGACCGGGGGCGTGGGGGGCGTTGTCAGAATTTTGAAACTGGGTGGTTAATTCTGGGGAAGTCCATCATACCTTTGAATGGTTGCTTAGCGACCGGTCATAATCAAGGACTACCTGTGCTGATGTTAGACTGAAGGTGTAGCTGTATTTTAAAGTGCACACGTGCATTTTGTAATTGATGAATTCCAGGGAAGGCTTACCAGCCCGTTCTATAAAGTGAGTTTTTAAGGGGCCTTGTGATAAAAGTGTTTCTGAAAAGAGCAATAGATGTGAAAAGGGTTCTCGTGTTGTAGGAATTCTAAAATTATTGCTTTAAAGGAAAGATAAATATTTTTTTTCCCTAAGTTTTTGGAACTGGGCTTGGACTGTGGATTATTTCACATGGTATTCTCCCTTAGAGAGCTGAGCCTTCTAAACTTTGGCTTACTGAAAAAGAAATCAAATTGGGAAATCGTTCTGCAGATCCACATTCCCTGTTTATTGTCGCGCAGCAATTCACTCTTGTACACTGCCCAGAGTCACGTTTTTGTGAGATGGGCGGCCATATAAATACAATATATATTTTTAAAAAACCAAGCTGGTTCTTTGGATTCTAACAAAAGATTAGGAATTTGGCACTGAAAAAAGGGGGAGGCTATTTCTCCGTGTTAGTTTCATTGCAAAAGTTAGTTTTAGTCTTCACCCAAAGAGCTACCAAAAATTTGGTTCTTGCTTATTCAGATCTGTTTTTGTATCAGTGTCACACCACGTCATCCAAGAGTTACACATTCAGTTAAGCAAAAAATAGTAAACCACAATCCAAAGTTCCATAAGATTTAAACACATATGTGATAAGGGATTTTTAGTTCTTTTCCCTCTTGGAAGATTGAACAAGCGTGCGTAGGAGATCCTGCGTGCTGCTGGATTGAACGATGGTGCCGAGGCCTACAAATTGCCACGTTTCGGTAAATTTCGTGGACTACACAGAGAGCAAAACGGGATGGCATCTTCTGGAGTTTCCCAGGCTCTGTAATACACTTCACATTTTGCAGTAAGAACCAAGTCTTGGGTTCTGCCTCTTTGCATTTAAGTATGGACCAAGAAGTTGAATTTTGGACGAGGAGAAGAGATTGCAATTTCGAATGCGCCCAATCAGTTCAGTGTGATAAAGTCAGTGGAGGATAATTGACAAGGTCACTAAGGGAGGCACAGTGTCACTGAGAGTTGAGGGTTTTTCAATGCTAAGAGGTAAAACTAGCACCTGTTTTGGTATCCTTACAATCCTGCCTGAGACTTCCTATCTTAAGAAATAAAAGGTTGATTTGCAGTGGTCCTCATCAAGTTTTATGTCATAGGATAAATGGGCTACAATTGACTACAGCAGTGTTTCTCAACCTTGACAATTTTAAGGCATGTGGATTTCAACTCCCAGAATTCCACAGCCAGCATTGCTGGCTGTGGAATTTTGGGAGTTGAAGTCCACATGCCTTAAAATTGTCAAGGTTGAGAAACACTGGACTACAGGTAGTTCAATTATGTATGTACACTGAGACCTTGTGCACCGGAGACGATTCCTTGTGTGTCCAATCACACTTGCCCAAAAAAGTATTCTATTCTACTAATAATAAATAGTGGTATAGGGTGACAACCATCATTGTAGATAACATCCATTGGAGACATCTCAAGTTCTCTCTCCCTCTGCATCTGTTTCTTGTCTGTTAAATGAACAACTTGCCTCCAAGTTACTGAACAGCTTCCCTCCAGAAGTTGTGAATGCTCCAACACTGGAAGTTTTTAAGAAGAGATTGGACAACCATTTGTCTGAAATAGTATAGGGTTTTCTACCTGAGCAGGGGGCTGGACTAGATGACCTCCAAGATCCCTTCCAACTCTGTTATTCTGTTCTGTTCTATATTCCAATGTCTATTCTGTTCTGTTCTGTTGTGTTCTATTCTATATTCCAATTTCTATTCTACTCTACTCTATTAATTTCTATCCTGTCCTGTCCAATCCTATCCTATCCTATCTTCTATTTCTATTTCTATTCTATATTCCAATTTCTATTCTACTCTACTCTATTAATTTCTGTCCTGTCCTGTCCTGTCCTGTCCTATCCTATCCTATCCTCTATTCTATTCTATTCTATTCTATTCTATTCTATTTTTATTTCTATTTCTATTTCTATTCTATATTCCAATTTCTATTCTATTCTACTCTACTCTACTCTATACTCTACTCTACTTTACTCTACTCTATTCTATTAATTTCTATCCTGTCCTGTCCTATCCTATCTTCTATTCTATATTCCAATTTCTATTCTACTCTACTCTATTCTACTCTAATTTCTGTCCTGTCCTATCCTATCCTATCCTATCCTATCCTATCCTCTATTCTATTCTATTCTATTCTATTCTATTTCTATTTCTATTTCTATTCTATTTCTATTCTATATTCCAATTTCTATTCTATTCTACTCTACTCTACTCTATACTCTACTCTACTTTACTCTACTCTATTCTATTAATTTCTATCCTGTCCTGTCCTATCCTATCTTCTATTCTATATTCCAATTTCTATTCTATTCTACTCTACTCTAATACTCTACTCTAATACTCTATTCTCAACCAGTCATTTTATGACAGTTTATAGAGTTACCTCGAATGGGTATTTTACAACTGATATAGCATTTCCGGTTGTCATAATGTGTCATGTTCCCCCTGCAGGGTCCCACCATAGCTTATCTTTATTGACCAGTTGCACCATCCCATGACTGATTTTGCAACTTTTTTGCTGATTTCTGGCAAAAAAAATGCCCATTCAGAAAAATGGGTTGACTTAACAGCTACATCGTTCACCTAATGACTGCCGTGAAAAATATCGAAAAATACTGGTCTGATTGCCTCAACTCACGACCAGATTTCTAGTCTCAATCGTCATAGGTCGAGGACAAGCTCTAGTGGGCTATACAATTAAAACAAACCCCCCCCCCTATGTTTTCTTCAAAATTAGCTGGTCGCTACATGTGCTGGACAGCTTTAGTTTGGACCCCAAATATGTTCCTGAATGAAGCTTTTCACTTTCCAGTTATAGAAGCGAGGAGCTGGCAATCAGATCCAAAGAAAAATAGAATGCTGCACTTTTAATATAACAGCTAAATATTGGGGTTCCTATGTCCATTTCCAGCAGAATGGCGTCCTTTTTCTGATGTAATAATTAAGAACTGTGCTCTTTGCAGGAATGAAGGATGAAGAGGAAAGGATGGTGCTTCTAGTTAGTTTTGGCTCTAAATTTAGGTGTCAAATAGTCTTCACTCCTAAGATTTAGATCAGGGGCCTTCAAACTTGGCAACTTGAAGACTTGTGGACTTCAACTCCCAGAATTCCTCAGCCAGCCCTGGCTGGCTGAGGAATTCTGGGAGTTGAAGTCCACAAGTCTTCAAGTTGCCAAGTT